CTTCTCCCTCTCCCTCTCCCATTCCATCTCCCTCTCTCCCACTCCCTATTCCTCTCCCTCTCCTCTTTCCCCTCCCTCTCCCTATTCTTTCACTCTCTCTCTCCTCTCTGCCTCCTCTCTTTCCGCTCCAATTCATGCCTTGCCGAGGAAAAAAATAATTTGATAGCAGAGAGTAGCGCATTGATTGACATCAGATTCTGCTGCGCCTCAAGGGCCGTCTCGATCTCACTCTCTCTCTCTCTCTCTCTCTCTCTCTCTCTCTCTCTCTCTCTCTCTCTCTCTTCTCTCTCTCTCTCTCTCTCTCTCTCTCTCTCTCTCTCTCTCTCTCTCTCTCTCTCTCTCGCCTCTCTCTCCTTCCTCTCCAGTGCACGCCTGGCAGAGTCCACACTTGTGCTAGCAGAGGCACTGCCCTGCACTGCATTCAGCGCATTCAGCTCAACTTACCCAGGTATATCCCCCAACTTGCTCCACTATTTGCCATTTTTCTTTTTGAACATGCCCAAGCATTTTTTCCTGTGTTAATAGTTGCACTTGCATTTTGTCAGTTACTTCCCCTCTCCCCCTCCCCTCCCCGCCCCCCGTCTAGGGAGGATGTGCTCCATGCATTGAGTGCCGACCAGGAGTTGCCTTGGTTGTCAAGGCATCTTGGATAATTGAGGTCTGTTATGGCAGGCTCACAACCACATTGCAAATCATTATGTTTTGTACATACACATTTCTTAGGGCGTGATCCTACGGGCCCTTATCAAACCAACCAACCCCTTGTCAGACTCGAGCCAATCACTTATTTTTCAATTGAAGACGAATGTTTATCGGACAATTTTCCAGTCTTGCAATGGTTTGGGTGCTGGTTTGGGCCGAACCCAACTGCCGGGAGCTCTTCGGTACATCCCGCTAAAATTAGGTAGCAACTAGACTTTTAATTACAACATCTTGGAAACAATGAATCTTAAGCGCCTCTGTCGTGTCGAAGCACCGCACCAGAAGCGAAGTGAACCATATCGAAGCACCCGCGAGTCAATCCTCGGAGGTTGAGAGGTTGTTGGAGGTTACGCGAAAGTCAAAGGTCAAGCGACCTTTGACCTGACAAATACAGCGCGACAGCAAGGACACACAACTGACTCGTTACAGAGCAGTTGCCCGAGTCGTCACTGTATCGAACCGCAACAGCAACAGTAAAAGTAGTTATAACTGCATCCTTTCATATTCTATGTAATCTTATATAATCTTGTATCTCCTTGCCTTAATCAACTTACTTTGCCCTCACATACCAGCGCAAGGTGGTTCACAACTCTTCATTAACGCTTCCGCTATTACATAGTTCCTACCCAGAGTTTACCCCTGCAAAGATCCTAAGGGCTTTCCTCAGCCCAACACTACACAAAACGAGTAAAGTTGATAGAATAATAGTGCTCTTAATTTGAAACGGCGGCCCTGGGTGTTTTGATTGCACGATGTTGTGGGATAATAATTGGATAACAAATATTTTCCTCCCTTATATCCATCGTGCGCTGTTGTAACGCAATGATATATTGTAATATATTGAATGGATAATAGCAACTGAAAATCTTAAATTTGGGCCTTGAGCTTTAACTACGACTTGCACAGAAATTCTGCACACAATTAGATAAAATTACTGTTGTCCCCTTTTAGCTGTTACGATAAGTTCGCATCAGCTGGTTCGGCTTACAAGCTGACCCCGAACCACCGACGAGTCGCCCCCGCACTATTCGCCACACTTCCGAGCCTCATTTTCCCGAGGTTGTCGCCAAGCTAGGGTTTTCCCTACATCTGTATATAGTGTCTCACTTTGATTTGTATCGTCACTCTCTTCGTGAGGGCACTCCGGGTAGGTCACTAAGGACGTGTGTGAAACTAATTTTGGCACCAAGTTTAGGTTTTTTATTCGAATGTAGCAATTGAACGCTAAGCGAACCTTACTCGATTTTGAGTCATTGCAAAGTTCGAACCGCAGCTGTCGAAAGTTGTAAACACACAATCACACGCGCAGGTGCGAATCTACAAGTTCGAGCCTGTAGGGGGAGAACCGAACCGCGAGTAGGGTGCGTAGGTTACCCAGTATCGGCATCTTGACAGCGCGACACGTCAACGAATCGCGTGCCCCAAAAGTTCACTCTAGAGTTCCACCTCATCTCCCTACCTGTCCCCGAGCAGACCACCAGCTACAAAGGTGTGAGTGTTTTGCATTTCGCCAACTCAGCATTCCGCCATGTCTCTCATTGCGCTGATGCGCTTCCTTGGAATTCTCATTCCACCACGTCATCGTGCCACGCCAACATCCACGTGGCGAGCTTTGCTTGTGGGGGACCGTTTATGGTTTCGGTCGTGCCTCTATTGGTGCACGAATGTGTTGCGAGTGTCGCACACTCCTCGTACGTGCCTGGAACCACACACGTTCACTACAACGTGCAAAATCACGTTTGCTCATACACTCGAGTCTTGTTCACTTTTCGGGGCTCGAGTTAGGTGGGAGGGGTATTGAAACACCCATTTGGCGAAAACGTTTGCGAACATTCACGAAATGTAAGTTCGAACCCATTTTCGAACTGCAATTAGTTTCACCACGTCCTAATCTCGCGCACTATCCGCATTCGTTAGCCCGCTCCTAGCAAGTATAGCTTCACGCTCGTGGCGAGCACAGCAGCGGATTGCAAACGACATGGGGGAAACAGCGGGCAGCGCGATCTTTCGATTGAAGAACCAGCGACTAGGTTAGGAATTACGATATACCAGGGCCAGTTTCGTTTCGTTGGGAACTACGGTTGGTGCACGCTGGCGCAGTCACGGTGTCAACAGCGTCGCGCGGTGCAGGTCGGCGCTGCTCGCCTCGCTTGGCGTGCGCCCACCGCCCTTCTGCCAGGCGCGCCTGCAGCCGCGTGGGCGGAACTGAAGCGCCAGGTGCACGTGTCACGAGGCGGGCGAGATGCGACCATCCCTTTCAATCCGCCCATTCCACTCCGCCCATCCCTTCCGCGCGGTGGACGAGGTGACGAGGCGGGCGAGATGCGCGCATTGACGCGCGAGCACCGTTGGCGGCCGCCACCACTGGTGGAGGGATGCGCTCCCTTTCCCTTTCACTGTGCGGGACGGTGGCACGGAGTGATGCGAGGTGGGTGGGCCATCCCCACGCGCACATAACCTTACCTGTGAAGGCGGTGGGAAAATAGGGACGGGGAAAGTACGGACCAGGAAGATAGGGACTGAGGAAGTAGGGACGGGGGAAATAAGGTAGGCAGGACGGAAGTAGGGACGGGGAGAGTAGGGACGAGGAGAATACGGATGGGGAAAGTAGGGATGCGGAAGGTAGGGACGGGGATAGTAGGGACGGGTGAATAGGGATGGGGAGAGTAGGGACGGGTAGAGTAGGGACGAGGAGAGTAGGAACGGAGATACTAGGGAGGGGGAGAGTAGGGACGGGAAGAGTTGGGACGGGGAGAAGAGAATAGGGACGGGGAGGGTAGAGACGGGGATAGTAGGGACTGGGTGAATAGGGATGGGGAGAGTAGGGACGGGGAAAGTAGGGACGGAGAGGGTAGGGACGGGTAAAGTAAGGACGGGGAGAGTGGGGAGAGTGGGGAGGGGACAGGGAGAGTAGGGACGGGGATAGTAGGGATGGGGAGAGTAGGTATGGGGATAGTAGGGACGGGGAGAGTAGGTTGGACGGGGAGAGTAGGTAGGGACGGGGAGAGTAGGTTGGGCGGTGAGAGTAGGTATGGGCGGGGAGAAGAGAATGTTGACGGGGAGAGTATGGACGGCGATAGCAGGGTCGGGGAGAAGAGTTTAGGGACGGGGAGAGTCCGGACGGGGAGAGCAGGGCCGGAGAGGGACGGGGATAGTAGGGACAGTGGTACGGCGTGATGCGAGGTGGGTGGGCCATCCCCGCGCGCAACCACCCACACGCCGCCGCGCTCCTACCAACCATGCTGGCCTGTATCGTCATGGCAGGTATCGTGCAGTGAGTGCACGAGAATGAGTCACTTTGTTGCAGCACCGCGAGTGCGAGAGCGTGGCGTCGGGCGAAATAGATTCCGCATTCATCCCACCTCACATCCACCCATCTCCTCATCCCTCCCACTCTCCATTCCACTCCCCCCGTTCCTTTTCGCCTGTCCCTTTCCGCCCGTCCCTTTCCGCCCATCCCTTTCCGCCCATTCTGCATGCCATGCTCTCCCTATCCTCCTCCCTGCATATTCGTTCATGCAACGCCGCTTGTTGCACTCCATCCGCCCCTGTTATCCTTCCGCAACCTTCTCCCTCCTTTCAATTTCCTTCTCTCTCCTCCGTTCTCCCTCTTTCTCCTCCTTTCCCCCTCCTTTCTCTTCCTTTCCTCCTCTCTCCTCTTTTTCGACTCATTCCCCTCCCTTTCCTCAATCCTATCTCCCCTCCTTTCATCTTCGTTTCTCCTTCCTTTCCCCTCCCCTTTCCCCCCCGTCACCCCTCCTTTCCAAACGCCCTTCTAATCCCCAGCCTTTCTCTTCCGTTCACCCCCTTCCCTCTCCTTTTCCCCTCATTTTCCCTGTCCTCTCCCTCCTCCCCCTCTCCTCTCGCTGTCTCTCCCCCTCTCCCTCTCCTCCTTCTCCCTCTCTCTCTCTCCCTGTCGTTCTCCCCCTCTCTCCCTCTCCTCTCCCTGTCTCTCTAAGCTTCACCGATCTTACCCGAGCGTCACCAAGCCTCACGAGGCTCTTCTCAATTGGTGCGACTTTTGAGGCCTGTTGCCTCGCGGCTCGCCTGTCAGAGGTCCACTGGTGATCCCCGATGATCCTAGGGAAGGGTTACAGGCACGTTGGCCTGGGGGGTTATGGGCGCACTCACCCGCTACACAAACAAGCCCTTTTATCCCAGTGGTTAGTGGCTGGGATTCTGACATGGTATCAGAGCGAAGGTCTCGGGTTCGATTCCCGGTGTGTGCACTTCGGGCATCCCAGTGCAGGGGGGTGTCAGAGGTCCACTGGGGATCCCCGATGATCCTAGGGAAGGGTTACAGGCACGTCGGCCTGGGGGGTTATGGGCGCACTCACCCGCTATATAAACAAGCCCTTTTATCCCAGTGGTTAGTGGCTGGGATTCTGACATCGCCAGCCCATATTCCATTCCAACCAGCGTAGAGGAGTGGGGGTAAAGAATGCGCAAGGGAAGAGAGGGGAGGGGGGGATACCAGCCTTACCCCCCGTCTCCCCATCGCGATCAGCTGCATTTTCGTAGGAATAAAATGCAAACCAACCAGACGACGCCACGCAGCCTCCAAACCCTAGGCACGGAAGGTTATCAGCAAGTTTGACGAGGCGCCCACACCACAGCTGAAAGCAACCCCCACGTAGATTTGTCATTTCTCACGTCTCTGTTCCCCCCCTTACTCAATACTCTTCCATCCGCACCTCTGAATCCCTCCCAACCTCCCTGTGATTCCGTCCCCTCCACCCCGTCCTCTATATCTCTCCCAACCCTCCTCTGAATCCGTCCCCTCCCCTCTCCTCTGAATCCCTTCTACCCTTTCTTTGATTCGCTCCTTCCCCTCCTCTGAATCCTCCCCTCCCTCCTTTGAATCCTCTCCCCCCCTTCCTCTGAATCCTCTCCCCATCCTCCTCTGAATCCTCTCCCCCATTCCTCTGAATCCTCCTCCTCTGAATCATCCCCCCCCTCCCCCCCCCCCTCTCCCCCATCCTCTGCTCGTTTCATTTGCCATGCTCTCCATCAATTTGTAATTATTCCCCTCAGCCCTCATTCCCCTCTCTCTCCCCCCCCCCTCCCCCCCCCCTGGACCTGCGTCCTTGGCCTCGCCCCCTTGGACACCTTGCTGCACTCTGAGTGTGCACTCGGTCTCTCCCATCTCCTCCATCCTTATCCTTTGCCACTCACTCGGTTTACCCCTTACTCTCCCCCCCGCGTGCGCCCCACTGGTGACTCTCGTGTGCACGTGTGCTGATGCTACTACCACACTGATGGTGCGGCACTGCCGCGTTGACAGCAGCACGCACGAGTGTGCGCTCGGCACAAACACACTCATCTCATTGTGGTTTTCCACCCCTCTCCCCACGCACATCCGCCGCCCGACGCAGCACTTTGGTCTGTCCCAGCGTCTCCCTGCAATGAATGAAGGGTGCGGGGCGAGTGCGGCTCTGGTGTGCGGCTCTGCTGTGCGGCTCTGCTGTGCGTCGTTGAGGCTAGTCGAGTCAAGTGATACCAGCCAACTGCTTGCCCCCATCCTCACCGTTCTCCCCTCCCCACCGCCCCTTCCTCTCCGCTTCTTTGCTGCCGCCTGCCGACTCCCCATTTCTGCCCCCGTCCCTGCCCTGCTCATCGCCCTCTCATGGATCCTGGCATGCAGCCAGCCCGATTTGCCCTTCCCCTCAATCCTCCTTCCTCCCCTTTCCCCTTTGTTTCTCATCTCCAATTCCGCTCATCGTTGCAGTCGGAGTGACCTCAACATTCTCTCCCTGCCTCCCCTGTTTGTCCCTTCTCTTCGTCTCCTTCCCCTTTTCCTTCCCTTACCCTCCACGCACACCCTGCCACCTCCCATTCCCACTGCTCTCCTGCACCCATTCCGTTCCCCGGGCCTTGCACTGTCCCACCATGCCTCTTACCCTCTCCCCTCTCCCCTCTCCCCTCTCCCCTCTCTCCTCTCCTTCGCGTGGCTCCTCAGATCATCCCAGGCGGTGTGGTATTGTGCGTGTGTCACGGATGCCAGCAGTGGAGCGACTTCACAGCTCGCATGCTGAATTGGCCTGCCACGTGGCACGCAACCACTGCAGCTGCAGCTGGCGAGGAGGGGTCGGGGGAGAGTGAGGAGCAGAAGGAACAGTGCGATTTTAAGCAGCAGCGTGGGGGTTACACGGTAAGACTGATGCCAAAATCACGAGGGAGGGAGTGGGAGGGCAGCGTGGTGAGCTGTGCGTGGCAGCAAGAGTGCACAGAGGACACTACGAGGTGGGCACAGAGGACATGCTGCTCACCCTTGCTGCTTACATCCGATCTGTCAGACGCTCACCAACCAATCACACAATCCTTTTCCTCCCAGCCCACTTCCCGGCCTCCGTTTCATTCTCATGTGTATGCTTGTTCCTTTAGTCTCCTACTTAACATTCTTGCTGTTCCCCATAGAGCCAGTCGGTCTGACACATGCCAATCCTGCAACCCATCCCATGCCAGCCCTCTTTCCCACCTTCTTTTCATTCTTCATAAGCGTGTTTGTTGTGGCTTGCATAGAAGCACCCAAACGTTTTTTCTTTCTGTCACACGCTGCAAAATTTTTGCTCCTGTCTCCCTCCCTCCACCTCCCCCGTGCCAACCATTCCATTTCTCCCAACTGCCAATTTCATCATCCCATGCATTGCCCCTCCCTTGCCTTGCCCAATCCCGTTAACCCCAGGGATCGAGCAGGGCACTACAGGCGCTCGAGTGAATTTGTCTCCCTCACGGTGCTGGAAGTGAGGCGTTGAGGTGAAACACAGAGGTGGGGTTGAAACACAGAGGTGGGTTTGAAACACAGAGGTGGGGTTGAAACACGGAGGTGTGTGAAAAACAGAGGTGTGTGAAAAACAGAGGTGTGTGAAAAACAGAGGTGTGTGAAAAACAGAGGTGTGTGAAAAACAGAGGGGTGTGAAAAACAGAGGTGTGTGAAAAACAGAGGTGCAGAATTGCAGACAGTGCAGTGGTGCTTCAAGTCCACTATTCATTCATCAAGCACTCGCATCATTTTTTGTCTCAGCTCCTCGTTTTTTATTTATGTCTTTGTGTTTTCCAACCTCTGTCCTCCCAACCTCCTCCCCTCCTTTACCCGTCCCCTGAGAAGCTTGTGGATTGGTCCACAAGCCCTACTTCCTTGCATTCTCTAGGCCGAAATTTCCTTTCCTGCCCACGAACTGACGTGACAAGGTGGGCGAGAGGCAATGGCAGGGCAAACGGCAATGGCGGGCGGTGGTGGGGAGCATGAAGATGCACGAAGGGGTGGTGAAGGGGTGATGCTGGTGGACTGAGGTCAGCCTCAGGTCAGTCTGAGGTCAGTCTCATGTCAGTCTCAGGTTAGTTTTTGGACAGTTTCACGCCACTCTCACATCACTTTCATGTAGGTCTCAGGCCAGTCTTAGGTGAGTCTCAGGTCTGTTTCAGGTCAGTCTCCAGTCAGTCTCAGGTTAGTCTCATGTCAGTCTCAGGTCAGTCTCAGAATGATGCTTGCACTTTCTCATACACATTAGGGCGCGTGAGGTCGGATTTGAAATTCAAAAAAAAGTGCGAACTTATTGTGGTTACCAGTTTCGTCAATTTCGCATAGAGCTGTTAGCGAAACTTCGTCAACTTTGGGTTTGGCAACATGCGAACTGCAAACTTGAACAAGACTCGAGTTTTCGATGTGAACGTGCTTCGGCATGTTCACATTCACGTGTGTGATTTCCCGCACGTTCGAACATCGGGCGAAATGTGCGAGCGACTCACGAGTAGCAACAGTGGCACAACGAACTCACCACAGCCTTCGTGAACTCAAAAGAGGCCACGTGGCGCGAATCGTGGCACGTTCAACCCATACACCAACGACTCTGAAGCCGTCTTGACGGCTCACCCCAAAGATCCCGCCAACCCCCTTGTCATATTTGGAGCCCAGGTGGGCAGCCTCCGATATTTGTACCCCAGTGTTGAAGGTGAGCTGGAGGTCTAGGCTATCCGAAACCGAGGCGCAAGTCTGCCGCATGGCGCACTGTCAAGACGCCTGAACCGGGTAACCTACTTTGTAGAAATGCGGTTCGGTGCGTTTTTACAAGTTCGAATACGCGCACTCGACCTTGTATGTGTGTGTGCTTTTCTGCAGTGTTGTGGTCCAGATGTGCGAACCCCGATACAATGAAAGTCGAGTTTGGTTCGACTTATGTTCACTTAGCACAACTCGCCCTAAAATTGTAAACTTTCACGAATTTCACCGATCACACGCGCCCTTACTCGGCCGTTGCCTCGAAAGAATTCCATACGTGAATATCCTATCGTGAGAAAAGGCGTGAATATACAACACTGGCATCCACAGGCAAGAGAAATTCCCGTCAATTCTTCCGTCAGCAAATGACGTCATATTCATTCCTGACGTGTTGTAGGCGCGTCATCGGAACAGCGAATGTCGCTAGTTACGGAAAACAATCAAGTGCACTTATGTCGTCGTATTTTCGGCCACATTCTCAGCTCCGTTGTGCCCTTGGTTGGTCTTATGGTGGACCTAGCATGTGTAGCACCCGCCCTACCGCTTTCGGAAAAGCTAGGCTCCCCAGTCTCCCGTTTTCGGCGCTCTTCGCGGGCCGTAGCACCGCTAGCGTCTGCCAGTTTTCTTCTGAAACATTTTATTTTTCAGCGCCACAAAGACCGCCCGCTACTAGCTGCTGTATCCCTTCTCGCAACGTTTTTTTCTCTCCCCTCCATTTCCCGCCCCCTTCGCGGGCCACACCTGTCGTGATAACTCCGCTATCTCCTGCCACGTCTTCCCATTTCCCCTTCCACCAGCTCCTCTCCTCCCCCTCCCCGTTCCCCAGCTCCTCCCCCTCCCCGTTCCCCAGCTCCTCCCCCTCCCCGTTCCCCAGCTCCTCCCCCTCCCCGTTCCCCAGCTCCTCCCCCTCCCCGTTCCCCAGCTCCTCCCCCTCCCCGTTCCCCAGCTCCTCCCCCTCCCCGTTCCCCAGCTCCTCCCCCTCCCCGTTCCCCAGCTCCTCCCCCTCCCCGTTCCCCAGCTCCTCCCCCTCCCCGTTCCCCAGCTCCTCCCCCTCCCCGTTCCCCAGCTCCTCCCCCTCCCCGTTCCCCAGCTCCTCCCCCTCCCCGTTCCCCAGCTCCTCCCCCTCCCCGTTCCCCAGCTCCTCCCCCTCCCCGTTCCCCAGCTCCTCCCCCTCCCGGCACTGTGCTCCCCCCATCCCCGCCCTCCTCCCTGCCGCCTTCCCCCTCCTTCCAAGACGACATTGCCTGGTTCTGCCTGTCTTTTATCGCCCTAATCGCGCGCATAGGCCTCTCCCTGCTGAGCCCGATTCTCTGCACCGAGACCCCGCAATCCGCGCCGTTCCTGCTCGCGCTCGTCCAATGGCTGTTCTTCGGCCTCCCCGTGCTCTCTTGGTGTCGGGTTCCCCCCTATGCGCAATCCTCAAGCTTCAGTTGCCTTGGGGGAGTGGGGTAGGGGAGGGGGAGCCGGGAGGTATTGGTGACGGGGACGGGGAGAGGGGGGGCGTTAGCAGGGGGAAACGATAGCTGGTGGAAGGCTATAGCAGCAGGGGAGGTAGGGGGTCCCATTCTCTAGGCTCTGCTTCTCTCTCTAATTTCTAGAGGGGAGAAGGCAGGGGGAGTAGCAGAACTAGCAGCAGGAATAGGAGGAGCAGGAGGAAGTGGAGGGGATAGTGTGAGTGCTACAGGCTTGTTGCTGGGTCCTTTGCTGCTGCCAGATGGGACCGGAGGGGATGTGTTTGCGACAGATGCCTCTGCTACAGCCGCCGCTGCCCTGCCCTTACTGGACCTGCTACAGCAGAGTGTAGCGGTGTCGCCGGCTGCAGCAGAGGAGCTGCTGTTCAAAGGGCTGCTGCTGACGGCCCTGCAAGAAAGGCTCGGCAGGTGAGAGGCTCGGCAGGATTTGGCAATGCTCCATTGCTGCAACCTCCCCATATCCCACGCTATCATCAATCCAAAGTCACTCGTTCTCTTCTATCTGTACACGCTTAATATCGTTTCCTGTATCCTTCCCCTTTCCTGCCCCTCACTCCTTCAGATCGACGCGCCATGCTGTCTGCAGCCCTCTTCGCTTCTTCCACCTCTTCCTCTCGCTCCTCTTCCCCAACATGGCCCTTGGGATTGCTGCCTGCCGGCCTGCTCGCTGTCTACCCCAATAGCGTGTTGCCAGCTGTCGCACTGCATGCCACTTACGATGCATCTGCTCTTCTCTTATATCTCATGGCCACGGCTTTTGCTTCTGCTTAGCATTCAAAGAGATTATAATTTTTAAACACACGAAGTGTTTTTCAAAATTACGTATTTCGAAAGCGCAGCTGCTTGTAACGCATGTTTTGGCATCGTCGAAGCGCGCTAAACGCCCTTCTCCAACTACAAATCGTGGGTTGGAGCTCATTTCCCTCCACCCACGTCTCTCGTTTTCCAATGGCTCATGCAACTTCACTTTCTCGAGCTCACTTCTAGTTTTACCGTTCAAGCTGGCGAGAACTCGCTCATTACCTAGAGGCGTTTCCCCTTCAACTTTATTAGCCGACATCCTTAACCAAAACCGCTCAACGATGGCTGCGACGCCGACGCTTAACCGTGCTGACAACATCGTCGCCAACGACCCGATAATTTCCGACAACGACCGTAATGCCCGTGAAACGACGGGCGAGCGTCGCAACAAGCGCCGGGCAGACGGCGAAACATCCGCCCCGACCGCCGTGGACGTGCTGCTGGGCGGGCTCGAAGTCAACAAAAACGCCGAGCAGCACCCCCAGCACCCTTCGGCGCCTGTGGCGCCAGTGGCTCCTGTGGCGCCAGTGGCGACGCACGCCACGGACGCGGAGCACGCGCCAACGGCACACGCCTCCGGCCGGCCGTCGCGTCAGCGCCAGAGGCGCCGTACGGCTGCCTCGTCTGACGCGACGGTTGACCGGGCCTTGACCGAGGCGTTGACCCAAGACCAAGTCAAGGCCCTCCTGTCCCTGTTACAGCAGCACCCTGCTAGCGCGATCGCCGCCGAAACTACACAACCTGCAGCATCTGCATCGGCTAAAAACGAAATTGCAAAAAAGGAGAAAGTAGCAAAAGGACCATCAACGCGCCGCCACGACAAGGAGGCGGTTACCAGTGCTCCTGAAGCTGCAGAAGGCAACAACGACTCCGACGACTCAGACGACGACGCCGGTGAGACTCCGAACAACGCAACAAATTTTCCCCCCATGGAAAATCTCCCTCCCCTCCCTTGCACTAACCCCACTTTTTCGGCGGCAAACTTCACCGACCCAATCGTGCGAGCGAAAGTGGAGCCCCTGGAGGACCTGAGGGCCTACCTGAAGCATGCGGAGTACAAACTGCAGCGCGGCGACACGGCGGGCGGACTTGAAATGGTCGCGAGCGCCCTCGACTATATTTCGGAGCGCTACGACATGCTTCAAGTCGAGGACGCCACCGACGATCGCGTCGCCAAGCGGTTCAAGATGTACCAGCAGAAGAGCCTCCTTACCTCCCGCCCGTTCAAGCAAGCCGTCGCCGACGTGGCAGCAATGGATCCCGCGGAGGGTGCGCACGCTCGCTCCCACCGCGGCGGAGGTCGCGGGCCCATGGCGTTCAACCCCAAGCGTGGCCCGCCTATGGGGAGCTTCCACGGCTTCCGTGGGACATGCTTCCGCTGCGGCCAGCCGGGGCATGTGGCAAGTGGCTGTCCGAGGAATGGCAATGGTGGCCAAGGTCCCGCACCCGTGGTGTAGGGATGGTCCTTGAGCGTTTGCGCCTTAGCGCGCGTGGCACGGTGCACGTCAAGTGCGTTGACCGTGGGCAACCCAAAGGGGTTTGCGGTGGCTATGAGCCAAGCCCTAGTTAGGGGGTGATGATTAGGCTATAGGCCTAAGAGGCGGGAGAGGGAATAGAAAGCCCTTTGGTCCCATAAATTGGCCCACGCGGTGCGGGGCGGATGCATGCTAGGAAGCATGGCTATGTGTGGCCCGTTCTTATAAGGGCTTTATTTTAAAGAAGTTCTTTCTGATCTTGGCTTTGGATGACAAAAAAAAAAAAAAAAAAAAAAAAAATCAGAGAGCGACAAAATGGCAAGCACCCACACGAACCCGAGCAAACGGTTACACCATTCGTTGGAATCGGTAGCCTTTATCTTGGCCACGGGCCAAAGGGCATGTCATGGATAAAGGGAAAGCAAGAGCAAATGCAAAGAGTGAACGAGAGCGAGATAGAGAGAGAGAAAGAGAGAGAGATAAAGAGAGAGAGAGAGAGAGAAGAGAGAGAGAGAGAGAGAGAGAGAGAGAGAGAGAGAGAGAGAGGAGAGAGAGAGAGAGAGAGAGAGAGAGAGAGAGAGAGAGGAGAGAGAGGCGAACCGCGTCACACAGACACCATGGGTGACAGACGGTGATTACGACTTGTTGATGTGTCTACGCACGCGTTATCTCATGCACATTCCTTGAGGCGTGATGGCTTGCATTCTAACACCTCTGCGCCATTGTCACTCGGCAAACATGCAGAGATAACACGATACGAGACGCTAGGCGACGGAGATCCGTACGAGTTCGCCGTTACTGACAAATCTGTCACGCAAATGCGCGGACGGCTTCGCGCAACCCTTGCATGGTGGAGCTCGTGGTGCCCCAGCAGCCTCATCCTCTCTATCATCGCTAACGGTTACTGGCTGCCATGGAGCCACAACCCACCACAACCGTTTCACGAGCGCAACCACATCGGGGCGCACACACATGCTGCGTTCACACGCACTGCCATTCGCGAACTTACCGAGACCGGCGCAGCAGTTGTCACCCCAGCAGCGGAGCTCACTAAATAAGCCCACTCAACGTGGTCGAGCAACGAGAAAAATGCAGGCTAATCCTCGACCTCAGGAAAGTGAACGCGCACCTGACCATCCCAAAATTCAAATACGAAGGCCTCAGCCGTGTGGCCGACCTGGCACGCATGGGAGATTGGATGTTCTCCATCGACCTCAAATCAGGATACCACCATATCGACATACACAACTCTAGTTGGAAATTCTTGGGCTTCGAATTTGAAGGGCGCACGTATGCCTTCCGTTCACTACCCTTCGGCCTCGCCACGGCACCATTTGTCTTCACGCAGCTCATCAAACAACTAGCCAGGCGCTGGCGTGAACAAGGCGTTCGAGTGATACCCTATGTGGACGACATCCTGTTCTTATGCACGTCCAAGGCCCACGCACAAGCAACATGCCAGCAGATAATTTCGGATCTCAAGATGGCGGGCTTGGTGATTAACGCGAAGAAATCACAGCTGCTACCATCACAACATCTGCGATTCTTGGGCGTCGAGTTGGACACCAAATCTGGTCAATTCTCCGCCTATTGGCACCGATCGACGAGCATCACTTCATGCACACATTCGGAACCTACTGGGCGCAAGCAAAGCGCGCCGACAGGTTCCAGTCCGCCACCGCGGTGGCCAGAATCACCGGCACACTCGCGTCGATGGCCGTCGCACTCGGCGCCACGTCTCGTGCATTCAGCCACGCCATGCTACAAGCAATTAACGACGCGCCATCCTGGGGAAGCAGCTTGAGCATTTCCCCCCCCGTTGCTGAAGAGTTGCAGTTCTGGCTTGAAGAGTTCGACAAATTTAATGGCGCACCATTCCACGTTCGGAACAGTTACGACGCGGTAATTCACGTGGACGCCAGCTCTCATAGTTGGGGCGCCACCCTGCTCACCTTCCCTGGTGAACTCGAAGAGGCAAGCGCAGCCATGCCAGAACCACTGCGAATGACGTCCAGCACTCGGAGGGAAATCGAAGGCGTCCTTTGGGCCCTTCGAACGTACGCGAACAAGGTTCAGCAAAAACACGTGCTCGTGAGGGTGGACAACCAAGGGGTCTTTTTCATCCTCCGCAAAGGCGGCTCTCGCACCCCCGACCTCACCACCGCTTGCAAGGACATCATCCGCACGTGCATGGAGCTCGGCACTCGATTAATTGTTGAATGGATCCCGCGCGAGCTAAAATCCCATGCAGATGAGTTGTCCAAAATGATCGACCACGACAATTACTCCTTGAAACAACCATGGTTCCGCATCCTCAATCGCCGCTGGGGTCCCCACTCAATCGACCTTTTCGCAAGCCCAAACAACTCGCAGCTGCCACGATTCTGCTCAAAGATACCACACCCAGAGGCCACTGCAGTCGACGCATTCTCGATTTCATGGTCGACCGAGAATGGCTTCGCGTTCCCGCCACCCCAGTTAATCCCAGCAGTCATCCACCACGCACAACGCACCCACGCCTCACTCACCCTCGTTGTCCCACACTGGCCAGGGGCAACCTAGCTGGGCCCCGCATATCCAAGCACAAATTCCCCTGACGCACGGTAGCCAGTGTTTAGCAGTAGGCTCGCACCGCACCACTTTCTCAGGCACAGGATTGCCTCATAGTACAATCGTCGCATTACGAGTGGTCTTCAACTAACCCATCTCGTCCTCCTTCGCGCAGACGTACTGTCAAAGCTTCAAGTACAGCTTCTAAAGATGCTCTCACAGTCTCGTGCCGACTCAACGATCCAAACGTACGAGCCATACTGGGTCAAGTTTCGAGCCTTCTGTACGAAGGCGAACCTCCCATTCCTCCCCGCGGCAGACATGACCCTCGCACTGTACCTGGTGTACGCCATCAAACGCAAGGCCACCCTATCCATGGTACAACTCACCTGCTCAGCCGTGAGCTTCGCCCACCGCATGACTGGGAGCGCATGCCCAACGGCAGGACCATTCACCACTCAAGTACGCGACTTTGCGAAACGGCACTGTCCTCGCCCCACGAGAGTGAAGGAGCCAGTCTCGCTGCAACAAGTCCGTGACATGTCGGCAGGATACCTACGATCTGATACCCGGCGAATTCCAGAAGGGGCTCATCCCCATCCTCATGTACTCCGGATTCTTGCGATACTCAGACCTCGTCGCCATCGAGTGGCAAGACATCCAGTTCGACGACGAGGTCATGTGGATCCTAATTCCGTACTCCAAGACGGACCAAGCTGGAAAGGGCACATGGATACCTATCGCTGCAACACACGATCCGTTCTGCCCTGTCCGCGGCACTCGACGACTCATTCGACTCGCCGGATATGATCAGCAATCAAGGGGGCCGCTGATTCGCACCTTCGGTCATGGTTGTA